TTCTTTAATCTATTATAAAACGTATCCTTAAAGATATTATCGTCTATATACTCTAGTTCCTTTACTAGTTTCTTAAATTCCGAGTAGTAGTTAGCTATAGATTCTATTTATTTAAGGGTATAGATAGTACGAGAGGCTACTATAGCCTCGTTAATCGTACTATAGATCTATTTAATTATTACTTCGAACTACGTAAAGTTCTTAAAGTATACCTTAGTCTTATTGTCGGGGTCGGAGGACTCGAGGTAGTCGTTCTATACTAGTTTAAATTAATAGAACGCTACCCCTTTAAGATATATTACCGCGAATATAACCTTATCCTCTACCCTAGTATACTTAGCTAGATTAAGCTTAAAGGTAGTCTTAAGTTATGTAAGGAAGTATCCTAGCTTCTCCCTATTCCTATAGAATAGTTCTACCTTAATACTATCCCGAGATATATTAGTAAATTCTAGTACGTTAACTATATCTACGTCTAAGTCTTCGTCGGAACTACTATCTTAAACGATATTAGTCTTTAAAGAATTATTTAAGGCTATAAGTAGACGTACGCTAGGTAGTAGAGATCTAAGTCGAGATAATCCTACGTTAGATATCTAATACTAATTAAGTGGTAGTTAAAGTATTATAATCCGAGCTATAAGTAGTTCTAACTAAGGTAGTGTTCCTTAATAGAGTAGGTATAAGAGTGCTAACTAAGATAATAAAGGGAATACTTATTCGTCGGACTATATCCTAAAATATAGGTATAGGATTACTAACGAAGTTAACTATAATCTATCTTAATATAGGTAGTAGGCGTGTATATATAGTGCTAGTAGCTCTCTTAGATCTCGTAGCTCTCTCTAGGTCTCTTGAGATCCCCCGGGATCCAAGGGATCTAGGAGATCTAGCCTTCCCCGGTCACGTGACTTAGCCTCGTTCTCCATCGGCTAACTTCCCCCCTAGGTAGGTGCCTTGATTCCCTTGGTAACCTTTTAAGTGACCTAGTTCGTAACATCCATCTCCTAGGCCCTTAATTCTAGGAGTTATCCTTATAAAGTACGTCTAAAGATCTACGCCTTACTAAACTTACTAGGTCAATACGAGACTAAACTAACTAGGCCAACACGCCTATAATTAGTTCTATTTTACTTATATTCCCGGACCTCAAATATATATATATACAAAAAGGGGGGGTTCGAACCGCGCTACCGCTATAATCTTTTTTACGCCTACGGACGCTTTTTACGTAGAAAAAGGAGCGCTACTAAACTAATCTATAAGAATATCGCTTACGGGGGTGTGTTAAGACTAAGCGATACCCTATTAACGCCTAGTCACGTGATTAGGCTTATATAAGCTAGGAT